TGAAGAACCTTCCGGTGCTGGTGGCTGAACATGAACACCACAAAATCTTCTTGTGGTGGCATTCTTGATAAGGAACTGTCTGGATTTCTAACTCTGGCTCAGTTGTTCTTTGGGAATAGTTTCTTCATTCTCCAACTTGTCCTTTGTTTGGTTGCTGGAGGAACTATTGTGCTACATCTGTTGGAATCATCTTTAGATCTATCGGTAACTTTTGCTTCTGAGGTTTCTTTTTCAACATCTTCAATAGTCTGCATTTCAAACAAAATGAACAGCAATCTTCTACTTCTTATCATCGTTTTCTTGGAGTGGATAAAAAAATTTATTAGCCCCAAAATTGAATCTGACCATAGCCAATTGAATACCACATTGGGCAAGTCTTGACATTTCAAGCTTTAAACCTCTCATCGCTTAGAATCATGCACAACAATGCTTTTTGCAACCAAACACCCGCAAGTGATGCATAGGAAACATCTTTCGCTGACCATACTCTTTCTGGAGTATCATACTGTAGAGGAACACAAGCGTGAACGATTTGGTTAAGATGAACTACGTGTAAGAAAGAAGAGCTTCACCCCAAAATCTTATTAGACAAACTTGCATGTGAGAGTAAACATCTGACTCTCTCCATCAAAGTTCTGTTCATCCTCTCAGCCAAAGCGTTAGTTGCGGCCCACCCCCCCCGCATCTTGGGAGGTGTTGTTGATGTCGAATACCATGCTCTTTGCAGAAAGCATCAAATGGCCCAGGTTTCTCCACCATTATCTGTTCTGAAAATGCGCTTCAGCTTCTTGCCTATTTGTGCTCAAACCAAGTTTTAGAAATTGTTTAAAAACATCTAAAACTTGATCTTTAGAACTTTCAAAGTGTACACCCAGGTCTTCCTAGGAATGGTCATCGATAAATGTTCTTACGAAGTAATCGATTTCCACGCATATGGACATCTTCAATGGTCCACATAGATCTGAATAGTTACCAGATCTAACACATTCTCGATTCTGGAAGGCTGAAGAAAATCTTTGAAAGGCTACTCTATTCTGCTTTCCTGTCATACAATTTCAGAACGATGTTTCTCTAAATGGACTTATATCCAATCCAGATAGCATGTTGATTTTAACCAGAGTTGTCATTTCCTTTCTGCACTCATGTGGCCTAGTCGTTTTATGCCACAGTTCAAACGTGTACTTGTCATCCTCCGCTACATTTAAAGTATCTCGGAAGCTTCGCCATGCATCACGTACAGCTTTGGATCTTTCTTTCCACTTGGCTTTACCCACCATAGAACCTTTTGTGAGTTTCCACTGAACCCATTTTCTGAAAGGTGCTACAGAAATTTTCAGCATTCAAGTCTGGCCAACCGAGATTAAATTAGGAATGCATGTCTGGTACATTGCACGACATCTTTTTAAAATTAATCTTGAACCATTTTTCTAGTCTCCAACAAATTAATCTCCCTTACCGACGACTTCAACAGTTTGTCGTCTGCTATCTTGACCACACCCAGATTGTCTGGTGTGTAAAGATGAAAAATTTTTCTCTCCGAGATGTTGCATTGAAGTGTAGCCCCACTATTCAATTGCCCAAACTGCGTCTCTTGGGGGGTGCAGATTGATAGGTGTCGTTCAAGGAACAGTTGGAACTCAGCAAATGAACAATTAGCTTCATCATCACTGCTCTCTCTTTCTTTGCTTTGCCTTTTCTTCTTCCTAATCACTTTTGAAGTTCCGGCAATACCTTTTAATGTGGCCCTTCTTCCACAAGGCATGGCACACAGTTATTGGCAAATTTGTTTGATTTACCCCTGCTCTTATTCTCTTGTATTTGAACTTCGAGATCTGGCTGCCTCCCTCTGGCTGGTTATTTCTTTTAAGCATCTGCTAAAAAAAATGTCTGACTGAGATGAAGAAGGATTCTGTGGCTTTACGTCGTCATTTCTTTCATTCAAAAACAGCATTTTTACCAAATTCCCAGACTAATCCACTATGTGGTGTAGAGTTTTGTTATTGATATCTTCAGAGTCTCCCAACACTCTTGGTAAGGAGGCAAGCACCATAAGGCCGAAGGATTCTTATCATCAAATTTTTATGCCCATATTCTGACAGCTGGTGAATAAGTCGCCTGCATTTTCAATAAGTGATCTGCTACAGAAGTACCTTCTTGGTAATGTTGAAATTCATCAGTTTCGTTCAAATAAAATAATTGGTTGTTGCCGGATTTTGAGGGCAATAGCTGTTTCAAGCTTGTCCCATAATGTTCTGGCGGTGAGTCTCGTTACCAAAATGTGGTTGTACAATTTATCATCGACAAATTGTTGAATATAACCACAACTGGTTCATGGCTGGAAAAGCACATTTCTTCATCAGTCTTGTCTTTCCGGTTTGCTTGAACCAAACACAGACAGATTGCATTTTGGTTACCATAAGGAAGCATCTCTCATTTTATTGGCTCCATATATGAGTTTAATTTTTTTTTTTGCGCCCGCCATTTAGACTGATCATTTTGCTTGTTCCTAGCTTCCATGGACTTTTGAGAATAGTAAAACCGTAATATGGTGAATTAGTACTAGTATACGATAAGAGTACTATACATGTAAATAGTACTATATGTAAATAGACCTTGTGATGCGGAACAGTACTATTACGTGAATAGTGCTGGCTTAAACCAGTGACGCGGCTCAACAACAGTAACGCCAATTAGTAAACTATTCACCATCAACCACGAGTTAATCTATTTTACTATTCACCCACTAAGTCGATTTCTGCACGTCTTCCCAGGCGGACCTGCACCAACGGACTCGTCGCTAATTTTCGCGTCTTCGTGGCATATTTTATTTTCCAAATATATCACGGAGCCGGTACGCTTATCTGACGACTTTAACCAGGCTCTGATACCACTTGTGGGGATACCGGCAATAAAATTACGAAAATAATAAGCAGCGAAAAAATTAAAAATTGGGACTACAAGAAATTTACGTGTTCACCCTCAACTGTTAGGACAACGTCTACGGGGACCAAAAACTCCGTATATTTTTTCTTCCACTATTAAAAAATAGTAGGCTTACAAAGAGTAATACAAAAATAGTGCACTCACAAGTGTTTCCCAAAAAAACACCGTAATAAATCTTTCATTATTTTCTAACCCTTAGTTTAAGAACCCTTCTTAAAAACGGAACTCTCTATTCTTCTCTACGTTTTGCTTGGTACATCTGAACTGAGAAACCATCCTCTCCATATTTATAGGAGAGGGAATGAGAGATCGTGTGTTTTGTTTACACACGGCCCTCCATTAACTATTATTCGACCATTAAAACACACCGAGATCTCTGGTCTCGATCCCGGACTCTCTCCTAGAATAGATAGCATACCAGGAGCACTGTATGTTTTTGGTTCGAATCAGACACGTTTTTTTGCTCTTTATTATTTTTTTCTTTTCAACATGTGTAAGTCCCACTTGAGATGGGCAACCCCACCACCAAACATCTGCCGAACCTTGTAGGCTTCCATTCTGAGAAATTTGTTATTCAAGTATAACAAATAAGTCAAGCGGCTTTGAAAATGCGAAGACTGAGAGCTTCGAGAATCGTTAATTGATTCTAAGGACAAAATCAGAGCTTTGGTTGGTATAAAGCATGTGTAGTGGTAAATTTAGGGAAGAAGAATTTTATCAATTTTAGTTATTATTATGGTCTGTGAAAATGATTACATTTGTATTTGTGGTGAGACTACTATTTACTGGATTTTTAAGAATTATTTAAATATTTAAGTATTAATTTTATAATTCTTAGTGGAATAATATTGTACTCTTCTTGCTTCAAGTCTTCATTTACTTGGATTCATTGCAACCTAAAATCACTATCATCGTTACACAGACAAAAATAAATCCAGCCTTCAAGAACAGCTGACTTGTTAAAAGTCAATGTCACAAAAAGGCTTCATCTATATCAGAGTTGTGCTTACCAAATTCAACCAATACAGACCTTAGAACTTCAAAATTTAATTACCCACCTAAGAGAGATACAAAACCCACAATAGGCAAAAAACCAATCTGAAGCTAGGGAAATATAAAGAGGAAGAAATTGAATTCGAGCAGAAGAACAGAGATTGAGATGCACAAAGACAGAGATAGAAAACTGCTATCGATCAAAAGGAAGTGATAAAAAAAAGAGTATAGAGAGGAGATGGGTTGTATGTAGAGGAAGAAAAATGACCTATATCGAGTAGGAGTTAGGTCTTGGCTTAACGTAATGCAAGGCAGCTTAGGTGGGTACAGCGTTATATTTTTATATTTAAAAATCTACGCTTAATTTATTTCTAGGGGGACGCAGTTATCACTGAAGATCATTAATTGGGGTTTGCCCCGTGGAAAAAAAACGTGTTCTAGAGTGAAACTACAACAATGGAAAGTTGAAAGCAAAATAGTATATTAGGCCTTTAAAGTGCCTAAGTTTCAAGTTACAAAGTTCAAGAGTGAATTTATTGAATTCCGCTTGTTTTTACAATTTCTAGGAAATTGAATTAGGGATTTGAAGTAACTTTTGTTGCATTTATTGTTGCCTCTATTAATAAAAAATAATTGAAAATAATTGTAGTAAATGATTTTTCCTTACGATTCAATTTGTCAAACACATCTTTCAACCAATGTGTTTGAAAATTTTCAATTCAAACTATAATTTTGAGGTTGTTACTATAATGAATTTCGTATCTTTCAAACATTTGATAGGAATAATATTATTTTGACGTACACATCACAATTTTAAATTACCCTATATTGGGTATTTGTAAAGTTAATTCAGTACTAATAGTGAGAAGAAGTAACTTGGACCTCCAATTTGGTAGGCATTCCTTCGCTCTCTGCATAGCTTTCTCTTAAGATAATTGCCCTTTATCTTTTGCAAATTCACTTATTGCACTTTGCATTTTCTTATTCTTTCTCCTGGTTGTTCCATAGGGAACATGCAACTCCAATTTTTAGTATAGAGATGATGATGCCTTCCTCAATACTCTCTCTTCCCTCTTCAGATAGAATTCTTGGATCCACAATCTCCATTGCTCTATAAGACAAAGATCTCTCAACAAAAATACGAAGATTTAAATCATCTTGAAAAGTATCATCGGTTGGTCTCTTTCCTGTAAACATTTCCAATAATAAAATCCCAAAACTATATACATCTCCCTTTATTGATATCCTGCCACCCATTCCATAATCTGCAAATAGATATAGTATATTAATATAAGACACAACATCTAGCATGATGCATATATATATATATATAGTATAAACAATCTAGATAAAGCAAAAAAATGAATTACAATACTTATTAGCAAATTTGGCACATAATTTGCAGGTCACATCCCTTCTAACTAGTTGGTCATTTCATTAATTTTTTACTAGTTCCATATCTAACTAGTTGGTCATTTCATTAATTTTTTACTAGTTCCATAGTATTTGTCACATATGGAATTTCACGTGCCTTAAAAAAACCATTGAATTTGTTTAAGTTACAAAAAATTATTGTAAGTTACAAAAAATTATTGAGTAAATTGACTATATTACCCTTAATTTAATACTAATTCTCTAAGAAAACTATTAAATTGAAGTAATAATCATTGGTCATATATAAGGGTAAACATGGAAAAAAATTTTATCACTTATTGAAACCACAAATATTATAGGTATTTTGGAACAATCTATTTTCTCAAATGTAACAAGCATTATGGAACGGAGGAAGTAGCTCTTTTTCTATTAGTCTACAAAATTTTTTTTTTTTAAAAAAAAAATTTTCTTTTTTTTAAATTAAATGCGACTAAATTTGCATTAGTTTTGTTGCATTCTTTGAACCATACTAGGTATTTGAAAGACTATACCTGGAGCAACGTAACCAATAGATCCTTTAATAGCTGTCGAACTGCTGCTTTGATACGGTTGAACCTCATCAGATATTGTGGAGATAATTTTAGCCAACCCAAAATCTCCAATATAAGCAGTCATTGCTTCATCCAAAAGAACATTGCTTGGCTTTAGATCACCATGTATGATTGTTTCACCATGTATGATTGTTGATGAGCTTCCATTATGAAGATACTCTATTGCAGTAGCAATATCAATGGCGATGTTTAATCTATCTATTAATTTCAGATATCTTATTTCTCTTCCTTCTACATTGTCTTCATGCAACCATTTCTCCAAGCTCCCATTGGCCATGAATTTATATATCAAAGCTTTAAAATCATTACCTTCGAAGTCAATGCTAGAACAGGCACTCAGCAGCTTCAAAAGATTTCGATGCCTTACATTTCTAAGAGCTTGGCATTCTGACAGGAAACTGTTTGAAGCTCCTCTTCGTTGCAGGTTTAACACTTTGATGGCCACTTCTATTCCTATCTGCTCAAGAAATCCTTTATAGACAGAGCCATAGCTACCAACACCAATTATATTTTCTACCGAGAATCCATTTGTTGCTTTGAAGAGTTCTGCATATGATATTCTCAGAAATTGGTATTGGAATGATGGTATAGAAAGAGTCATCTTTCGAGGATTTCTTTTGCAATACCAAATAATTAACAAACATATCAAAAAAGCCAGAAATACTCCCACAACCAAAGGGATTATTACTTTCACCACAAACGATACTTTATTCTTGGAGTTGGGGGGACTTGGAGTTGGGGGGAACGATACTTTATTCTTGGAGTTGGGGGGAAGACAAAAAGGAAGCTTTAATTCAGTAATACCTCCACAGAGACCATTGTTTCCTTGTAGTGAAACTGCACTTGCATTTAGAAAGATTCCACGTTTTGGAACCTCTCCTTGGAGTTGGTTAAAAGATAAATTCAACAACTTGAGCCCATCAAGCTTCATTAAAGAATTTGAGATTGATCCTGAAAAATTGTTGCGTGAAATATCTAGCTCTTTTAAACCTTGTAAAGCACCCATTACCTCCGGTATCTCTCCCCAGAATGAATTCCCTTCAAGATGAAGTTGCTCTAAGCCTGAACACTTGCCAATAGTATTTGGAATAATACCAGATAATTTATTATCTGATAAATCCAATCGTACAAGATTTTGGAGCAAACCAACTTCTGATGGAATAGAACCTGAAAGTGAATTAGCAGATAAATCGAGAGAAATTGAAAGGGAGGGAATGCCAATAACCTGTTTGGGTATAGAACCTGTGAGATTATTATGAACTAGCTCCAACTCAATCAAGTGACGACAATTGCCAAGACTTGGAGGTATACTTCCATGAAGATTGTTGAATCCCAAAAAGACACGACTCAACAAAGATAAATTTCCAATTGAAGATGGAATTGTCCCTGTAAATTTGTTGCTACCCAAATCCAACATTTCCAGTTGTTGAAATTTCCCAAAATCAATAAGTAAAGGGCCAGAGAAGTAATTACCACCGAACAGAAAGAACCTCAGATTGATGAGATTCTCAATACCCAAGGGAATGACATTATGTAACTGATTATCTGCCACAGATAGAAAATATAACTCTTTGGAGAGATTGGCTATGGAAATGGGCACAGTCCCTTTTAGAAAATTTTGTCGAAAACCAACAAGATGTAAACTAGAGCAATTAGTTAGGGAATCAATGAAACTTAAGTCATCTTCCAGGTAATTCCAAGCAAAGTTTACAAATTGCAGAAATGGCAGCTTTCCAAAATCCTTGGGAACTAAACCAGAAAACCAATTATATTCGAAAGAAATCTGTTCAAGCGCAGAAGCATTTGACAATGAAATTGGTACAAGTCCAGTAAACCTGTTAGCTGCAACTGCTAGGGACCTCAGCTTTGGAAGGGTTAAGCCTATATCAGAAGGGATGCTGCCATTCAGTTGATTATCATTCACTTCAAATATTTCAAGATTAGAGACGTTGAAGAGACCAGAAGGAATCTGACCAATTAGATTGTTTTCTGCAAAAATCAAAAACATCAAATTCCAGAGACGAGATATCTCCTCGGGAATCTTTCCGTGCAACCTATTTCTTTGCAGAGAGATTTTCCAAAGAGATGAGAGATTTCCAATGGAAGGAGGAATGCTTCCTGTCAGGAAATTCTTGGCCAAGAGATGAGAGATTTCCAATGGAAGGAGGAATGCTTCCTGTCAGGAAATTCTTGGCCAAGCCTAAAGCTTCAAGCTTTGGTAAAGAGCCAAGCTCCACAGGTATATTACCCACCAGCTTGTTGTCAATGAGATTAAGATACATGAGCTTTGAACAATGGGATAAGTTGGTGGGTATATTACCTTGGAATGAATTGTTGCTGAAGTAAATAACTTCAGCGCGGCGTAGATTTCCAATCTGTTGTGGGATTTCACCATGGAAGCTGTTGTTTTCTAAATCAATAAGCCTGAGAAAGGAAAGATTTCCTATATGTGGCGATAGAGATCCTACCAGGCCTTGTGATCTCAAGTTCAAGGCTGCTACTCTGTGAGGATGCCTCCGACTACAAGAAACGCCATACCATTGGCAGAAATGTAGGGAATTATTCCAAGAACTGAAGATTTGAAATGGATCTTGTTTTATGGCAAGTTTAAAAGATATTAAAGCAAGTCTGTCAGCTGTCAGTTTCATTTTGAAAGCAAAGTGATTGAATTGAAGAAAGCACAAGCAACAGCAAACAAAGAGCTGGGATGCCATATTAACGGGAGCAGCGCTTAAAACGCCCATAACTACTTTAAACACTACTTTAACAACATCAACAATAGTTTAGAATGTTAAGTTGTTTTGTTTCATTAATGGACTGTACATGAAAAATGGTCCACCAATTTTGCGAAAGATTTAGAAATTTTGTGAAGTAAATTGGTTGCCAAGAAATAGAAGTCCAACGTAAATTGAGAGCTAGAAGAAAAAGACATATTTAAGTGTTTTTATTTCCTTTTATATAAAAATGAAAATCAAATAGTATGATTTTTCTATAAACCATGAGTTCGATAAATGCATTATAATTCATTACAAAGACGAAAGACGAAGAACAAACTCATTTAACTATTGAATCAAATATTATGAGTAATTGAGTTAATGTTAAATCTTATTTCCTTCTTATTGTGGCTCTTTGGTTAAATTGGGTGGGTAGCAACTAACAAAATAAAATATGTCAGCTTCTGTCTTGACAATCCATTGCTCTAACCAATTGATCTACCATTTCAAGCGTATGTATATCTATTTAATTAGTTTAAATTTTTTGGATTAAATAATTTTATCAAACGGCAATTTTTAAAAGAAAAATATAATGAAAATTAAATAAAATTTTGAATACAATAATTTTAACGTAACACACCGTGTTTCCTACTCCCTTCATCTCATAATTTCAATAATTTTTGTCTTTGGTTTAAATTGCCACAGACATTAAGAAAATTTAGTTAATCTAGTTAAAATATAATTTTTTATTAAGAAAATTTAGTTAATCTAGTTAAACTATAATTTTTTTCTTTGTTTTTTCCTAATATTACATTGGTTCCTAAATACTTGACATATTTAGAATTTCATATCCCTTAAGAAAACTATTAAATTTATTTAAGTCACAATTAATTATTGAGTAAATTTACTATATTACCCTTAATTTAATATGTCCAAACACTAAATTTTTGAGGAATTTGCAATAATTGTTGGTCATATACAAAGACTAAACATAAAAAAAAAAAATTATTATTCCTTAAAACCACAAATATGATAAGTATTTTGGAATATAGTTAGTTTTAGGATGTGTCAAGTATTTAGGAATGGAGGTAGTATATTCTTATGTTAATAGCCATTAAAATTAGATGATTCATATTAAATTTTTCTTAAAATTGGTCAAACTATAATCAAACTTTGGAAGATTAAGGATTGATGTTTTAGTTATGTTTATATCAAAATTTGATTAATGAAAATGTAATGGTTTGATTATTATATTTGGTGACAAAGAGACATATTAAACGATGATAAAATAATAATTTTTAAATATTATTCATTTTAAAAAAATAAATAAAATAAAACAACAATTTGGGATGATGGATAAAAAAGGATGTTAGGACAAGAATAGGGAACAGAACGAGTATATTTTAGATTGAAGTTGGTGTTGGAATAGGAATAGGAATAGGAGTGGTCTGTACATTTACTTTAATGGTGGGCTCCACTCTTCACTTGCTAATTGGGATGATGAAATAGAAAAACCATTAGAGACGACTTGACAATCATTATCAGAGACGACTTGACTATCATTTTCAGTACTGTAGCCTTATAAATTAATAGACTTATGCACATTTTTCTACGCCTATATTCAAATCAACAAGCGTTGATTTCTAAAACAAAAAAAAATCAACAAGTGTGTATACTTTAATTAAATGTAGAAAATCAATATGAAGGCCTTGCAAATGAGGTTTGGGTGGAAAGTTTAGTGCCGTGTATACAAGGAACAGTCACGGAACAGAGAAGGAAGTGGGATGGGTATTTTAGAATACCCATCTTGCTTCGATTCATATAATGAGTTAAATGGATTTAGCATGGATACAGTTAATCGGCGGTGAATATATATATATATATAATAAAAAAGGTTCAATCTCAATTTTAAAGAAAGTCAGTTTAGAAAAATGTATATGTATTTAAAGAAAATTTTAGAAAAAAAAAGAGCAAATTGACCCCTTTTTCTAAAGTGGATCCGCGTTAAACTAAATTATTACCTATAATTGATACATAGTAGGTATGGATATAGGTTGCTGGATACTCAATATATAAAACGGGTTTGATGAAGGACATTCGTGGGTATAGTACTACCCATTATTAGTAACATATGTATTTTAAACAAATATGAGTTTGGATAATTTAAAATTAATGGATATTCTTCCTAGTACTTTTGAACGATTTTGTAATGTGTACGGATAGTAAAATTTTAAACAGATTCAAATGTGAGTACTTAAACAGTTATTTAAACGGATATGTGAAGATTAAAGGTAGTAAAATTTTAAATGGATATATAGGTGTACATGTAACTCAAAATTGGCACGTCTCCGCACACTTCCACCCCTAGGCGAGAATGTTATGAAAGGATAAAAACACCTTAGTTGTGAATATTATACTAACGAATAAAAATGTTTTTATTAATTTTTAATATTGTTGTTCTTTATTTTTTTTAATTAACTCATGTTATTTTTACTCATCATATCGTATTAAAATCTAATAGCAAATTCAACTATTTAATATTTAATGTACAAGGATTTAAATTAATTTAAATTGAATCATATTATATTATCTTTTTTTTTTTTGTCAAAATTTCAAAATATTGATACTATCCAACCGAATCTTTTGCTTGGACACCTCATGAATAACATTTTTTTTTTTTTTTTTTTTCATTTTTTTTTTTTTTTTTTTTTTTTTTTTTTGAGTATTGGGGAAAGGGATTTGGACTTATATCTATTGGCAGATCATACATAAATTTATCACTAGGTTATACTTTGATGTACTCCACTTTATAAATACTTGTCGTTGCTCCTATTATAATTTAGTATCCAAAATACACATGTATAAATTTATAATCTCAAAATAAATTAGCCAGATTTATTCTTGTTGATGTCTAATTAAGAAATCTAATCGAAGATAACTATGAACAAGTATCTGCAAAACAAGTCTTCTTACCCTAGTTTTAGTTTGAGGTTTCTGTTGTTTATTAGCAGCAGCTCCTACCTCCTATTTTTTATTCTCTCTTTCACTTCATCTTCTTTTGTTTTTTATCTTCTTTTGCTTTAATAAATTTAGATCTGTTTTTTCTATAACAGATTTGTCTTTTTTGTTTTTGTTATTAATTATTGGTTTGTTTTTTTTTTTTTTTTTTTTTTTGTCTTTTCTTTATTATGGTTTATTAGTAAATAAAACTATGATGTTTGACTTTATTTTGTTGGAGACTTTACATTTTGATTTGCAGGTATGGATCTTCGACTATTGAAATCCGGTAGTGTGACATATTCCTCCATTGATGCTATTGACACATAGCGGTGGAAACTTATCTGTGCTCGTCATTTATTGCAAATTTTTGAAAAAGCAATCTACTTATAGAAGATCTAGAGAAGTCATTATTTAGATGCCCAAATCAATGGTTTTATGAAGATTTAAATCTTTTGTTAAGATCAACTCTAAATGAAAAAAATCAAATATTATATTTTTTTTAATTTTAGTTTCATTATTCAAAAGAATATAAATTCTTTTGCTTTGTTAAAAAATCAATGAACTCTATTACCTATTAACAGTAGAGTTCTATGTCTAGTCTGTATGATTATTTGTAATTCTTAATTTTATTATTAATGAATTACATTTAATTTTATAGTATAGTTATTAATTATTGAAAAAGCTAATTAGTATTCTATTATTAATAAAAAAAGTTTATTATTTAATTATTAATTATCACAAAAGAAAGAAAATAAAGAGTTTTTTTTATTAATGAAATAAATTTATTATATAATTATTCATTATTGAATAAAGAAAAGAAAATAAAAAGTTTTATAATTTAATTTCTTCAAATTAAATAATTAAATAAAAATTTTAAAAATAACAATATTCCACATCACCAATTAAGTTTTTCAATATCATGCCACATAAGCAAATTTGGTTGAGCTTTTATATATTTATATGGATACTATAAGGAAAAGATATACTGGTTGAGGAATTAAGATGTTTCTATATAATGGTTTGAAGAGGGAAAGTTCAAATATACTTCTAATGGGAAAAATGTATATTTTGCACTCTGTACTTTGATGAAAAAATCATGTATCCCTTAATTACTTAATAGGTACCTATAATATATATATAGTATATATATAATATATTATACTATATATATAATATATTATATATATATTAGTTTAAGGAGTTTCGAGTGAAAAAAAAAAAAATTATATATATTAGTTTAAGGAGTTCGAGTGAAAAAAAAAAAATTAAATGTTCTATTAACTTACTTTAGCACGTAAAATACTATGAACTTAATTACTTAAAAAATTGTAATTTTCCATATGTGGCTAGTCTTTCTACAATTAGACTTCTCTAAAGTAGAGCCTATGAGAGTACTGTATGGTTCTCAAAATTATAAATTTCTCCAATTAATTTCCTAGCAAATTTAGGAAAGTGATTTTGCTTATTTTGCTAAATATTCCATTAGTCTTTATGTGATAGGATATGTGTCTTAATCAACCTACCGCCTCAGGGAGAGTTCGGCCCAATGCATAAATTCACTCATATACTTTACGTAAAAAATTTTATGACACCCACAAATTTTATTTTGACTTATTGAACACTTCAATTTATAAAATTGTACTAATTAAATACTTCGACTTATAAAAGTTATTCTATTGAATACTCAAACTTTTAAAAATTAGATCAATTAAAAACTTATTAAATAGTTAAAAAATGTGAAAATTATTTTTCAAAGATTATACTAATCATACATTAAGTGAATATCTTACACATAAATGTCAAAAACACCAAAAAAAAAAATGTTACTGCTAGTATAGAGAGATATAATGTTAGCAAAATTCATAACTTCAGGAACATAATAGGTCACTCGTAAATTTGAGGATGTCACAACATTTTTTTTTGTAAAGTATAAG